GAACTGATTGCCTCCATGTTACACGATGGCTGTGTGATAAAGCAGAGCCCAGTTCCGTGTACCACACGGATATGGAACATGTGGGTCGCCAAGCAAGACATAATAAATACCTTGTGTGTCGTGGAAGTGCACAGCAAACCATGTGTAATGTTTTGTGATAATAGTAGCAAGAACAAAGTGGGTACTTGTGATTTCAGCCTGATTCTTCTCATGGATGAGAAAATGGTTTTCTCTGAGCTAGCTGGAGTGCTCCTGTGAACTTACTGAGCTCCTTGGTCTGTCTTCCTTCCCTCTGAATCAGGCTTCCGGAGTTTGAATCCACCTTTGACAATTGTTCGGAAGACATTCGAATCAACAGAAAACCCAGATGACTTCTTGCCCTCTGTAATGACTTGTGTGAACTATCTTAAGTTGCCGGACTATTCAAGCATTGAGATAATGCGTGACAAACTGTTGACAGCAGCGAGAGAAGGGCAGCAGTCATTCCATCTTTCCTGATCAAAACGAGAGATGCAGTGTCTGCCTGTTACAGCAAAGGAAAAATCATGATTTCTTTTCTAAATGTATCACCTGAGTCAAGGAAACATGTTACGCCTTCTTGTTGTAGGAAAAACGGCTTGCAGATTATAAAAGAGACACTTGGTTGATATTCATTAATGGCCCCATGGACTTAAAGTGATCAGGCCCTAAAACATTGTTGTGATGAGGTTTCTTTAGCAAGTTCTTGTTTAAGTTATCATTTATTTGATGAGTGAAGTTTTTAACTTGCTTTGCTGTGTGAAATTTAAAAAAGGGATGTTTTTCCAGGCTGAAACAATAAATGTCGCTGTGCAGTTTAATTCTGGGCTGTGTGTATCCATCTAGCTAAGTCTGCAGTTTTGTTTCCTCCAAAGACCACTCTTGTACATAAGTACAGAAATGAAGAGCCCACGTGTATTTGACAATAGAGTTCCGTAGGTTAGCTCTCTGTGCTTCTCACCCTCCTGACCTCTCTCCCTGACTCATGTATTGTCTGTGCAGTTCACACAGGTTTTTGTATACAATACTCACAGTTTGTTACATTTTCGTTAGCCATGGGATTTTGTTGTTCATGTTCTCTCCAATTAAGATATAATTTAAAATTCTTTGAATTGAAATATATTGTCAGTATAATTCAGCCTTTGTAACTAGGTAGACTTTTCTTATAGCTTAGTTTTAATAGAGTTGTAGGTCTTAATTGGCCTTTTACCAGTGATACACTAGGACTGTTTACAAGGCGATTCCAGCAAAACAGCCTCTGGAATGGAGGCCGCAAAGAGCATTTATTTCTTCTGTGTAGGTTGAAAAGTCTACAGCTTGGGCTGGCCCGTATTTATAATGCTGTGGCCAGAACATTCTGCATCGATGTAAAGTTTTAAACAAAATCAGCAGTTTTCATTCTTTGTTGGAGTAAAAGACTTTTTTTCTCCCTTGTTCTTGTTTTAAGTTTTGTTCAGTCTTCTTTCTTTCTTCACTCCCTTCTCCTCCCAGTGCTCACAGGGCCGAACAGTTCAGTCCTCATCTTGACACGCATCAAAGCACCTGTAAGCAATGCTCTGTCCAGTCTTTTTATGTGCTGATTTCTCAGATCTGCAATAATCCATCAGGTTAATGTTTTTACCTGCAAATAAAAGTTTGCTTCACCGTTTTGTTTATAGTTCTGTGCTGTATGCATAACTTCCAATTGTGCAGATATATTCCAGTGCAAGTAAATCACATCTCCATGATTCAAATCATGGCTGATTTTGCTATTCAAAGAACTTATATCAGCAACATGAAGAGCATAAAATGTGGAAAGAAAATGGGAGGAGATTCATTCCCTCCTAAGGTTCAAAATTAAGCGTGTTGCTTAATTTTGGAAATTTGAATTTCCATAATTGATCTTTTTGAACATGAGAGATGAGCTAATTCTTTTGTATTGAACTTTGAGAAATCAATTTTATTTTACTGACTGTTTGCTGGTCTTCTTGAATTGGTGTAGAAGCCCCTTTGTTTCCTATCCCTCTACCAAAAAGAAACTTAGTGGCTTGTTTTATTCAGATTACTTTGTCATTTTGTACTTAAATGGCCTTATATGGAGCATCCCCTCTTCACAGTGAACTTGGGCAGCGGCCCCACTAAGTGTGGCAGAGCTGTAAGAGCCAGCCCGCGTCTCCTGGTCCTTGCAGAGGCTCTGCCAAGTGTGCATCTTTACTTTGGAATTGGAGAAGAGAATTGTTTTTCTGCAGTTCTAACACTGACAGCATAGGAACTGAGCAGGTTAATCTAGTGGAATTAGTGTTAACAAATGAGCCAATTTGTTTTAAACTGTTGTTACCTTTTTATAAACTAAGCACAAAGACTGATGTGAACATAGCATTTTGTTCCTCATTTTTTAAAGGGTTCTATTGTTAAAATCTAGACATGTAAAAACTAATGTTTCCTATTAACATAGCTATATTTGACATTTTATCCATACTGTGGTCCTAGCAGTTTGGGCCTCCCTGATTTGAGCATCTAACAAGTACCTTAGATGTTTTTGAATCAAACTCTGGAGCTTGAGTGTTTCAAAGTCAGTCATTAACCTTTTTAAGTGCTTCCAGTCTTTATCTTATTCCATAATGTGCAAACCCTTTAATTAGGGGCAGGAAGCCTCTTCCCATTTTAAAGCAATCTGTTGTGGCAGAGGCCATAATTACTGCATTGTAGGGGAAAAGTATACTTCATTTGCTATTACTCCAGTTATGCCTTACATTTATTTGCTTAGTAATCCTATCGACAGGCACTAATTTTATGCGTTACACACCGACAGTTGGGTAGTGACTGACTAAGAGTTTGTCCTGTAGTTTTTGCTGTGGTGCGTCAGATGTTAGTCACACCTGGCACAAACTGTGCTGTGGTGTCATGTAGACAGTTACTGATTTCGTTCTGCTTTGTAGATGAGAACATCTTTTTAACTTATACTTTGAGGAGGAAGTAGCTGTTTAATGCAGTCCCCTCCTCCCAGGCGCCCAGCCCCCAAAGAGTGAATAGGAAGTCTAGGGAGTCCGATTGGGAGACAGACCTGCGCGCCTTGGCCAAACCCAGCGGAAGCCTGTCGCGCCGCTCCTCACTGGGGATATCCACTCCCTCCCTGAGCCACAGCTCCGGTTGCCTGTATTCACAGCGATAGAGAACTTTCTTTAACCCCAGCATTTGCTAAAGAAGGTAGTATATCCTACTAGTCCCTATTAGCCACATCTGGCTGTTCTGGTAAGTTCGGGAGGTAGCACGAAGAGGAGCGGTGCAGCTGCCTGCTTGCGACCAGTCACTTCCTGTTCTGGAGCCACTGCCCTCCGGCATCCTGGGCTAAGGACCTTGAGGCAGAGGGACAATGTCCCAGCTTCTGCATCCAAGTAATATCAACCCTGGATTGTCCACAGTTAGGATAATCACCAACAAATTGTAAGGTTGTCTTCCCTCTTAGTTACCAGGTGTTGAGGCTGTGTCCAGATTCCTGGCAGTGCGTTTGAACTCAGGAAATGGCAATGTCTACCAAGAAAGCAATGTGTTTAAGAAAGGAGACTTGCTGGGGAAAGAGAACAGCGCCTTCCGAAGCTGTTCCTTCCCCAGGAGCAGAGATGACCAAGCCTTTACTTACTTGATTGATTTATCTTAGGCTTTTTTTCTTTCCACCATTTGATTTTCCCTACTGTAATGAGAATGTTGTTTGGAAATGTCATACTCTGTGTTTCTGATTCTCTGAGAACTGCGTTTGTATGAGTCTTAGGCTTGATGTTACAGTAGTTGACATACACGGTAAAGGAAAGCCTAGTCATAAATCGCTGAAAATGCTTCATTACCTCGAAAGAAAAAAAATTCCAGACAAAATATACATTT